GAGTGTAAGGCCAGACAGCAGCTTTGTGTGTGTACTGATGGGCAAACGCATCTTCTTACTTATTTTCCTGTCGGGTAAAGGGGGTGGTCTCAAAGTGAATGTGAGTCACTTTTACAATACTCCCAAACCATCTGGCAGGTTCTCTGTAGAGAAAGCAAAAGCTGAGGACTGTAATAAATACTTAATATCAAATCTCCAGAGTACTTGGCAAGCTGAAAAATGTAACAATATTTATCCACTGCAAGAAGAAACTAACCCTTAGAAATTAGTAAGGTATTGGCAGTCTTGAAGCTAAGACCTAGCTAAAATTTTCTACAGTATGTGGAGTATACATCTAATATTTCTTTGTTGTGTGCATGTAGTGATATTTATCCATGGCAAGAAGGAATCTGAAGGCTGGGGCTAGAAAATTAGATGGCCGTTAGTCAGAATGCCTTATGAGCTGCAGCTGAAAAAATGTAGCCTTTGTTTTCTTGCTTTATTGGCAGTTTAATGTTTTCAGTCAAGTAATAAACACTTGCATGTTTTTCGTCATGTATAATTGCTGGGTTATACAAATACACATGTATGTCTTACATACAAGTCACATGCACTTAATTGTTAATAAACAGGTCTTCTAGTGGAAGGTCATTTACTGAATAGCTGTTGTCTTAATTCTTTTCTTTTTTTCTTCAATATAAGTTGCTGCTGAACAATTTTACAGGCTTTCAAGATTTTGATTCAACTGTGAATAGGGAACAAAATTCCCTACAGTATCTTCAATCTGTAGAGCCACAGGGGTGGCACATACCAGTTAATGTAGTCTTCGTTCGTTTTGAATGTGTTGCATGTACTGCTCTAATGACCAAATATCCCTGGTTTTGCAAAGTTACTGTGGGCTAGCAAGTCACTTTTGAATTGCCATGGATTATCTATGAAGTACATACATTTAGGTGCAAAGAAGAATGTATTGAGGTTTTGATGTTGCAATCCGAGCAGGTTAAGACCTTGCAAGGTTGCTGTGCCCCAGTAATAGGGTGGAAACTTGCTTTACCAATTCTGGTAAGTAGAATTAGATGCCCTGACTACTAATTTTCCGTAGCCATGCAAAGGACATTTGAGGAACTACTATGAATCTCCTCAGCAGTAGTACAAATTATTCCTTCTACGTTACTGTTGACCAGAGCATAGTAACTTTGGTTTGCCGCGTATGAAGTTAGTCAGCACTAATAGCAGGGTGGGGAGGGAGCTTCCTGGCTTTTTATAGGAAATACTGTCCTGACTGTTATACTTGAAAATATCTTGAAAATTAAAACTCTTCTGGAAATGCTGTTTCTGTAGTACTTAGTGTGTTTGGTATTATCGTATAGCAAATACCTCTTTTAGAGGCTTATTCTTCAGTACACTGTGATTTGAAGAACAGAGGAGGAGAGAAAAAATCCTTGGTATGCTGGAAATGAGAGGTAAGGCGTCCAAATGGTAGCTGCATTTTTAAATATAATCCTTAGAAATGCCATGTGGAATACCAAGCAACCAGTTGAAGAGAGATATATATATATACTTGATGATGTCAAGGTTGTTTTTTGCGTGACATGCAGTGGAACTTAGTAAAGTGCCTAAAGAAGGCTACAGGAGGAATTTTTTCCCTGAAGTGCAAGGTAGGGGAGTTGTGTGGAGGGTGTTTTTTGTTTCCCATCCCTCCGTGTTCCCTTCCTGTCTCTTGTGCCCTGTCCAAATTGCAGTATTAAACAGTTGACTTAGCACTTATGCAGAGTTCTTAAAACTTTCATAATATGCACCAAGCTTTAGCGAGGCTGTTTTGGGCGGTTCCATTCTGTTTTTAATGTTGCAATTTAATATATTTGCTGTTTTCATGCAATGTGAGCTCCTGGTTATAATAAAAAAAAAAAATACTTGCAATTCTTCGCGTTCGCACTTGAAAAACCTCTATCATATTCTGGAACCATTTAATGTCTTAAGCTAATCTGTGTCAAGTCTAAAAACATACTAATACTAGCATCAAAAGGGAGAGGGAGTTCTCAGAAAATTATGTGCGTGCTGCAGATGTATTCTGAGATTATTCCGAATGCCTTCATTGTAGTAACACTGGTTTTACAATGTGTCTTGTACTTTTTAAGTAAAAAAGGACTTGTACCACATTTACCAATAAAACTTGCTGTATAGTGCTCTTGGACTGTCATAACAAGGCTCTTACATTTTGGTTTTTCTATTTCAGTGGGACTTGGTTTCCGAGATTCTCGGCTAGTACAAAAATGGGATCTTATTTCATAAATCACGTCTTCTTCTGAAGATATTTCTCAAAGTCTTAAAGAATATTTTGGGTGCATGGTAGATAATTTAAAGAAGTTATTTCATTTGTTTTATGTCAAATGAAGATGTTTATAGGAAGCTTACACCTTTGTCGAGTCTGTCTCTTTAATTTTGCTTTTTTGTTCTACTTTGCTTTTTCTGCCATTTTTGAGAATTGGAAGTGAGTGAAAGCGTTTGAGTAACTTTGCCAGTTACACACTTAGCAGGGTGTGTCGTCTTCACCGAAGACTGTATGCATGCCAAGTCTGAAATCTTACTAGGATGTCTGTTTTCCAGAATAAATACCACGGGAGACAAAAATACTGACCTACTCTAAACTGGGAATGAGAACCCTAGTCCTAGACAAGACAAAGACCTGAAATTCTTTGGCCGGAAGCCAATGCTGCTTTTTTTAAGGAAATGGGTAGTTGGGGTATACATAGATTGCTGAGGAACCAGAGTCAAATGCAAGTTAATCAATTTGACCTAAGTCAGCCCCCAGAACTGTGTTTTGTGTAAGGTCTTGGAGATCGGGAATTGTGTGGAGACTTCTTGGCCAGAACTGATCCGTTTCAGTAAATTAGAAGATATCCTGAAGTCAGCCTGATGAAGAAGGTGCTTTTTTTGGAATGAAGTAAAACCTCAGTGCAAGTCAGACATAGAATAATAGTGTGTGAGAATTTGCTGATGATTTAATTGTGCAGTTATTGGTGACCTGGTTCAAAGAATGTCTCTGTGAAACGTAAATATTTTCAGTCATGGTAATTATTGGAAGTTGATTTTTCAGAAAGGTAAATTGTGAACATTCCATGTATGTGTAACTATGCCCACAAACTATGTAGAAAGAGACCTTGTGTTAGGATATATTTGAATTAAACTTGTACACAAAGCTAGAAGAACCGTGAGGTCTGAATGCAGGTGCTTGGGGATAAGTGTGTGATGCTTGGTGGGGATGGTAAGGCTAGAGAGGGAGGGAGAACAGCAGGGAGCAACACTTCGTTGCTCACAATGCAGTTGCTTTTGTTCTTCAGCTCAGCAGTAAGGCACTACTACAGGTTACTGACTATCTGTTTGATTTTTCTAAATTTAAAAAAAAAAAGGGAAATTGTGTGATCCTGGGGGGATGGAAAGGATCTTCTATTTATTTTCTATTAAAGCTTCTTCCTGTCATCCGTTCTATTTCTGATTCTATATGCTTCATGACTTAACTTTCCTTCCTCAGTGACTTCACTATGTTGAGTCTTAGTTTTCAGTCTGTGATAGTCAACCTCATTGTATCCTTTTTCCTGAGTAAAAAAAAAAAATTGAACCAGTTCTAGTTCTCTGGTGTCCTCATTAATACCTTCTCGTTTCTGTCCAATGTCTTGTTGTCAAACTTGTTTCTTCATAACTCTGATTCTTAAACATTCCCGATTTCCTTTCTTCTGTCTGTCGTTCATGTTTCTCTGGCTTCCTGGCCCTGTCTGCTAACGTGGCTTTTCTCAGCAGCTCAGGATTATGTCTGAGAATGTAATCCTTCCTCTTTGGCTGGCCCTGGTGTAGAAGGTGCTAGCTAGCTCAGACACCTTCCTTGGTGTCCTGTCCTAAATCACTGAAGCACACTGGGTTTATATGGATGAAACAACTGTAAACGAGAGAGATTTGCCGTGGTTCTTGCATTACTGGGCTGGAGCACAGCTTGTCTGCTCTGTAAAATGCCGTATGGCATGCGTATGTTGGGTTATACATGTGTGTGCTACTGTACATCTTCTGCATCTTCTGGCACTTCAAAGCTGTTGATACTCTAGCTTTCTGAATGCCAGAAAGTCTTTCCGTCACATTTAGTGTTTAAAAGTTTATCTCCCAGCTTAAGTGAGACATATCTCAAGTAGTATGTCCCTAGGAAAGGGAGTTTCTTCCAGAATCTCAAATCATTACTTCAAGCAATGTGGATAGGAACTTCTCAAAAATCATCAGAAGGTTTTAAATGACAGTGTTAATGTGGCCTTGTTCAGCAACACCTGACTTCAGGTTTTTCTTTCATTCATCTGTATGGCTTAAGTTACAAGCTTCTTAAAAAGAAAGCAGTTCTTTTTTCTCCATTGTGGAAGAACTTGCTCTGTGACTTGTTTTGGGTGGTTTGGGTTTGGGGTTTTTGTTTTTTGGTTGGGTTGTTTTGGTTTTTGTTGTTTTTAGAATACTAGATTTCTTCATGGCACATTTCTATGCATCAAAGGGTATCACCTTCCCAGGGTGTCAGTTTTCCTCAAGTCTGCCAACTTACAAGTTTTACTTAAGATCCAAGTGGACGTTTGAAAGTGTTTCAAGGAGGCAAAAAGTACTCCCTTGATACATTTGAAAGCTCCTGAAATGTAACGGGTAATCACTTAAATGTTCGATTCTAATTAGTTTGTTGCAGTTTTTACTATATTGCAAATTTAATACCAAATGCTTCATTTTGGCATAACAAAGGGCTGCGTGCTATCCAAAAAAACCTCCTCGCTTTTAGGGGGAACTATGGCTGCCATTCAGTTCATTCAGTCTGTTTCTACTTGGGCATTGAATGGGAAATCCAATACCTGCACTGCTTGCACCATGCATTAATTAAACACTCAACAAGCAGCTATTTCAGTCTCTGAATAAATGCTTTTTACTGGCTTAATTTTAACCAATTTAATCTGCTGATGTCTACATGAAGATTTCTGCTGTCATTTTAATTCATGTTTGACATGGCCAACATCGTATACAAAGAGGACCCGGATTCTTCCAAGTCACTTATGGTTAGCCATGTTCTGTACACAGATACATCAGTCATTCTAGCTGATAACTAGGCATCAAAACTCTACTTCACAGCTAACTCCTAGGTGGTACTGAACTGCGAATGGGTGCTTTGCTGCCAGCTTATGACACCTAGAGTTTTATAAAAATTTTCATCTTTAAATGTAATTTGTAATCTTTACTAACGTTTGATGTAACTGCTGTTTTGTGAATCCTCGTGCTTTGTTCACCAGGTACTGCTGGGTATATAACAAAGTTCTAAGAGTAGGCTTTTACTTACACAACCAATGTTTATATAACAAGCTGTTTTGCTTAAAGTTCTCTGCAAAGTTTCTTGCTTTTTAGGCGAATCAAATGCTAGCAGAACTTGTGATCAGCTGTTTTGACTTTTACTGAAAAGACAGTGTAATGGCTCGCTACTGTGCAAGAAGTTGGATGAACTTTCTCACGAAGTATATTTAACTTGAAACAGCCTGTTCTAGTGTGACTAAATCTTCTGGACCAAATCTATTCTTTTTATGTTGAACTAGAATTAGTTTGACCTCAGACATCTTACTCACAAATGCATTTATGTTACTCCTTCCCCATGCTGCTGAGAGGATTACATCAGTTATAAAATAAAACGTGACTAGTTATTTTTGTTGCCTTGCATGATTTCAGAACTGTTTAAAACAAAACAAAACGACTCCAACTTCTTAAACCTTTTCTAATTAAGTCCTACTTGTAAAAAGTTTAAAAAAACACATCTATGTTTTTCTTCTTCAGATAATATCTCCTACGGCATTGTTTTTGGCTGCAAAAGTGGAAGAACAGCCACGGAAACTCGAACATGTTATTAAAGTAGCACATGCCTGTCTTCATCCTCAAGAGCCACAACTGGATACAAAGAGTGATGTAGGTGGAAGTCATGGTTTTAAAGATAATCAGATGACACTTCATCTAATGATCTCTTACATAGTCTTGACTGGATTATTGCTGCCTGCAAACTAGGAAAAAAACTTTTGTTTTTACACCATTTAAGTCTTTTGTATTACTTAATATAACATTAAAGACTCAAATATTTGTGTTATGAAACTTGAAGAGATGGTTCTATCTTGAACTTGCATTATTTTTAAGACTTCTACATGTATAGTAGAAGACTAGACTAGATGTTAAATATGAGGTTTCATGTGTGATTCAGTCAGTTACACAGTTTGTGCAGAGAGGAGTTCAGGACACAGTTTGTTTTCCTCAGCCAGAGGCTCACTGTACGCTGTTGTCTACATTCTGTTTTAAAGGATGCGATACAGTTATCAGCTGCTGCCTCTGCTATACATTGGTCTTCCTTTCATTTGCCCAAGTTTGCACAGCTTCCACTTAGTTTACTGTTCACATTTTCTTTCCTGAGATGAGTCTTCCTGAAACCAAACATACGAGGAGGTTTGGTGGAAATGCACCAGAGTTGTTCAGCTTGAAGGTCTGGCTGAGCTAGTTATACCCTGCTGGACCTCAGCTGACGCCTGAAACTATTTGAGCACCTTTGCTATGCTCCCAGTTCTTGGAATGGCACGTGGAGGTAGATAGAGAGAGAGATAGATATATATGTATGTGTTTGAGCCCACGAGCTTCAGCTAGCTTAACACAGGCCAACTGAGTATCTCCAGCTGTATTTCAAAGTACGTGTAAAATGGATAACCTGTCTAGAGATACTTGAGTTGACTTGCACTGGCAAGTCTTCATAATTCTTCTTGGAATGACATGTGGAGGTAGATAGAGAGAGATACAGATAGATAGAGAGAGAGAGAGATATATATATATGTATGTGTTTGAGCCCACAAGCTTCAGCTAGCTTAACACAGGCCAACTGAGTATCTCCAGCTGTATTTCAGCGTACTTGTAAAATGGATAACCTGTCTAGAGATACTTGAGTTGACTTGCACTGGCAAGTCTTCATAATTCTTACAGCATTCCCCACCTTCTCCCAAAAATGCTTTGCTGGAATAGACTATATGAGATCCAGACTAAGTAAACCTTACTGTGAAAGACGGTTAGGCTGGTATAACTGAATTTGCAGTAACGCTTATACCAGTAGAAGAAAGTATTGCCACAGTGAAGTGTTCTGAGTTGTCAGTGCTAACTGGCTTGCACAGTGGTCTTAACTTGTTTTGCTAGTACCAGTAGTCAAATAGGAAGTGTATGATTAAAATTTTGAGGCAAGAGATAGCTACGTCTTGACCTGTTTGCTTATTTGTTTCAGGCATACCTTCAGCAAGCCCAAGAGCTGGTTATACTTGAAACAATAATGCTTCAAACTTTAGGTATGTCTTTCTAAATATCTCCTGTGCAGCCAGCTTACTGTGAAGAAGTAATGGGACCCAAGTAACTGGATTTTTGATGTGCTATTGGTACACTAGAATTTTATTATTTTTATATACAATTTCTGACCTGTGAATTTAGTTTCGTATTAGCGGTTCTGTTGTGTTCACTTCGGGGGGGAAAAAGAGGCATATCTATACTTGTGAAATAGATGTTTCTGACAGTTTGATGGGGTGGAAATGTGTACCCTTGCAAACAGATTTTACTCCAAAGTAGTAACTATGTTGATATTTCTTCATATAAGGTAACATGTTATACTAGGTTAGCTGTGTACGTGTTCTGAAGCAATTGGGAAGAGCTTTATACCAAGTGCTCTTCCCCATTTTGCCTTTCGATAGAGGAACATTATGTAATTGAGCAGGGTTACTACCTCTGAACGTCACAAGTCGTAGCGTAACCATTTAATGGACTCAGGTGATTCCAAAATTTGAAATGGAATGTTCTGATAAGAAACTCTTCTGACTTTAAAGTAACATAAAAAGAGACAATTACAGCTAGCAGGTCTGAGAACACTGTCTTACTCAGATATTCTTAAATACCCCTTTGAGTATATTGTTTAAAAAAAAAAAAAAAATAACAGTAGTGACCTAATTCTTAAAATAGTGTCATAAACAAAGAAAGGTTTCTTAAGTCACTGACCTACAAAATTGAGTTAATTTGTAATTTCATAGATGCAACATGTTTAAGTCCCAGAAATCAATGAATAAAATGCGTGTGCACACATGTAGTTCAGTGCGTCTGTAATATAGCTTTTACTGACTTCTTCATGTACTAGAAACTGTTCATCTGTGTCCAACTTTAAAAATACAGTAACTTCCCAAGTGTATATATTTTCAGGACTTGAGATTACTGAAGGAATGTTTTCCTAATTGATCTTGAAATGGCTATACCATCTACCATTCAAAAGTATGAAGAAGTGCAGAATAAAAGGCAGTTAAATAGTGTTAACTTGATCTTCAGCGCAAAGATGCAGCAAGCATTTTAGGTCTATGGGGAAAGGAAAGGGGTTTGGTTTTTTTGTTTAACAGATGGAAATCTGTATTTCTAAAACATATTCTTAACTCTTCAGGTTTTGAGATTACCATTGAACATCCACACACAGATGTTGTGAAATGTACGCAATTAGTGAGAGGTCAGTGACTTTTAACCACTTCTGTAAGTCCTTTTTTACTTTTCTAGTAAAATTTGGAGATGATGTTATTTGTCTAATATGATCTTCAACTGTGTTATCCAAAGAGTTTGTTTAAAGCTAATTACTGAAAGCTTGATCTTAACCTTTAGAGCCTGATAAAGAGTCCAATTCTCTGTCCTTCATAATTTTTTTGCTTGCTTACTAGCTTTGATTTTAATAATGTCTGTTCCATGTTTTCTTAAATGACAGAAGCAGGCAGCAGTTGAAAACTGAATAGCCAACTACTTGGTATCGTTCTGGGTTGATTGTTTTCACTCTGAAGTGGTTTTACCAAGTAAAGTTTAGTCTGCATGTTAGTTGATGGCTAATGCTAGCTTTCTGCCTAGCAAATCTTTTTAGGTAATGAACTGAGGGATAAAGAAAGTGCATAGCAGGTCTGCTATCACATGCAAATACTTCAAGATGTGACTAATTCTTTTTCTGGAGGAGGGTGTACTTCCTTCTTTTGGATGGTAGCACAAAGTCCCAAATCTTTTGTTAAACTATCATATCCTCTAACTTGTATGCAGCTCATTAATGTGACTCTAGCTAGAAACCTGTTTTGTTCTTGCGTATTTTTTGTTGCATTTTGGCACACCTTCTTTAGTTCTTAAATTGGTTTCCTTTGGAGCTTTAAAAAAAGAAAATCCTCATAAGATGGAGGATGAAAAAATTAGGAATCAGTTGTAAAAGCACCTAAAATCAGCTTTTCACTTTAATTATGTTCCTTAATTAAAAAGTGTTTGGAAATGGTTAGACCATGGTTGTTAGTCTTTAGTCATTAGCTGTTGTTGCACTGAAAAAACGCAAAGTTAAGTGCTTCAAATTTTGGTGGGTTTTTTTCCCCCCCCTATAAAATATAGGAAAGCTAGGTGCAACTTAGTCATGTTAACTGGATCTGTTTTGTAGTAACTCTAGAATTAAAGTTGTTCTTTGAAGGAAAAATATCTCTCTCATTTTGAAGTAGCTTACTGGTGTAGTGTCTTCAGAGTTTGATTCGGAGTATGACTGGTGCTGCGTGTAACTTAATTGCATCTAAAGTAGCTTTATTGCTATTCTTGCTGCAAGATAATGATTCTTTGCCTTCTGTCCAGATTTGGTTGTGACTCTGTGCGTAAGTCTGATTGCACCTAATGTCTCAATAGTCTGTATCAGTAGCTCTATAGGCTTTTGCTTTGGATTTTCTTAGCTGTTGGTCAGTATAAATGTGAGCGCGTATTTTACTGTTTTGTGTGAGCCCCTGCACTTCTGCTCGGTATTTGGGGCTGCGGGGAGGGGTGGCAGGCACTACTGTAGCTGCATCAGGATTTCCACGTTAGTAAGTGTGTTTGACTCAAGCCTACAAGAAGAAAGGCATACTGCTACACAAACTTCATTTCCTTTAGTCGAGGGTAGGTACCGCCCTAAGACAGTTCAGCTTTTTCCTGTGTTTTGTATGCTACTTGTGTATTGACAAAATTCATACATTGGAGGTACATGCTACTTTTCAAATTTGACATCTTAAGGCTAGTATTTAACGTCAGCACAGTTTAACAAAATACTTAGAATCCAAAATTATACCAAGTCTTGAAATCTGAAGACTCCAGTGAGGGCTGAAAATCCACGTACCTCAAGGACTGGTACAAAGTGAATGTAATACATCTGATGCTTGAAAACCTACTCAGTGGAGTAGGTGTGCTCCTTTGTGTGTGTGTGTATGCAAATGGAATTCTTGTCAGCATGTGCCCTTCCTAGGGGTGGCATAGGCTGTGAACACAAGGTTTGAGTACCTTTTATTAAAAAAAAAAGGTAAATTAATCCATAAATTAAAAAAATTGAGCATGAAATCCATAGTCATGCATGCAAGTCAAGCAAGTAGAGAGTAATTGCCATGGAACATGAGTTTTATGTATTGAGTGAATAAAGAGATGAGCTTTTGGGCACAGTGATACATCTTCAAAGACGCAATGGTATGATTTTAGTTCTCTCTTTCTTAATGTTTATTTACTGGACAGTGTTGTTTTAATGTGAATAGGTGCAACACTTAGATATCGAGTCCTGAAGCTTTCAAAATATATCTAAGACTTGTCAGCGTTAAGCCTTTAGTGCTAAAGGGATTGACTGAGAAGTTAAAGAAATGCAAGGTTGCTTCATCCAGCTGTGGTAACATGTCTTCTTGGACAAAAAGCACTGTTTCAGAAGGCAAAGAGATACCTTTTTTTATTAAAGGTGATTAACTTACCCAAGACTATGATGATTAAAACCTTCAACTGTATGTTTGGGGGAGAAGGAAGGGAGGACTATAATGTGGCTGACTATTTAAGTATCAAAAGAGAGGCAACAAAGTTAACTGAGGTATGCAAGTGTACTTAAGGTTTTGGCTTAGCATGTGTGCACTGAATTGCCATGTGCTGAGAAGATGCCCCGGTCCCCCAAACTTTTGCTGGATAAACTTAAGTGGCTAAGAGGATGGCTGATTTTCTATATCATTTTCTGTTGTCTTGCATCCGGGGTAATGTACTTTATGCTGTCACTGTTACCTGTAGTAATCTGTAAGCTACCCCCTTTAAAAATAAAATGGAAAAAAAAAAAAATCAGGTTCTGTTGATGGTGCTCAAAAGATTCAGCAAAGTCCTTTGTCAAAGACTGTCTAGTCTAGTAGTGGCACACTAGAATCAATTGCTGGAAGCCGAAGCTGAACTAGGAAGTGAGAATTGGTGCCAATAAACATAATTGCCTCAACGTACAACTAGAGCAAAAGTTGAATTCTTCATCTCTAAGATTGAAAGCCTTTCTGAAAGTAGTATTAGACCACACCGATCATTGTAGATAAGGGGTGACTGGATGGATACGTAATGATTTATGATGTTCAGGCATAAGGTAATCTAATTATTCCTTCTGGTTTTCAGAGGTTTGTGGGTTCATGAAATTGTTCCATCTTTACAGTTTGGTCAGTATAGTAGACAAGGAAAATGGTGTAGGCTCAGTCTTTTTTCTGCACCGTTCTTCCTCAGTGTCAAGAGACTGAGAAGAGGAGACAGGACCATCATTCCTTAGGATCCCACAGGTCCTCTAAGGAATCTGGAGGCAGTGGATCTGTGAAGGCCTGTCAGCAACCTTCAGTGCCCTTTCCAAGGATGCTCCAGTACTGAAGAGAGAAGAAAAGAAAAAAAAAAACCAAACACCAAAAACTGTTCCTGGTGTCAAACTACCTTACTGGCTTGAATGCTAGTTGAATGATCAGCAGTGAAACTGCCCTAGTGCCGAGACCATGGAATCATGACATGGTCCTCTTAAGCCCCGGTGCAAAATCAGTCTGTTCCCAGCCTGCTTCTGGTGGAACTTGAAGGGGAGGAATCTGTATCCTCATCTCCATCTTGGGAAGTCTTCAGGCACTCCCTTTTCTGTGTTGGTACACAACCTTCTTTTGGAACTGAAGATTGGATCCCAAGGATTTCTAGGATTGTTCTCGCTACTCTACGGGTTATCAGGTATCTTGAACACCCATGATCCTTACTAATCTTATGTGGAAATTGCACTGTCAAATTCTTCAAACATACCATAGTATCTGTGTGCACAGCTGCCATTGGTTAAATTGGGCTGGTAAAGACAAGGTGGCAGAAGAGGAGATGAATCTGCTTTTTTCAGAGGGTATTCTGATGAGGAAAATTTAAATCTTAGTGTACTAAGTGGTGTGGAAAGATCTTAAACACCAGCTGCACTCCAGCACTGCTACAGGCGGCCTTCACATTCTGAACTTTCACCTCAGGCTTTTACAGGCCTGTTCCCAAGGTTGAAATACTTTCAAGAAAGTAAAGCCACCAGGACTGCTCAGACCTGAATGCCTACACCATGGCCTCCTCCAGCCCTTTCCAGATACAACAGGCATCCACCGACATACCTCCATTCAGGGCCTGTGGCTTTTTTTCCTTTTGCCCAGAAGGACTTCAGCAAGCTTTCTCTCTTCTGATGTTGACTGGCTATCTGCAGTCTCCTTTTTCCGGGGAATGCTTACATATGTTGTCAGGGCCCTAGGCACGGCCAGCTATCGCCCTCCTAAGGGTGACTCGGCAATCACGTTTTCGTGATTATCTCAAGATCCAAGATAACCTAGTGTTGAAGAAAAGACTCAGATATCTTGGAATTGCAACCGGTTGAATTGTGTGGCTGTGCCCAGTAAAAAGCATTTTGGTTTCCAGTTGGGAATTTCTTGGAGACAGTAGCCTTTTGGAAGGTGTATCGGACAGCAAGTCCTGTTTCAAAGTCTTGATTACTACTTTAGTAATCCCCTGCCTTATGGTTGCTTCTGCAGCAGTGAGACAGGGTGGGTGTTTCAAATCACTCCTGAATGATAAAATATAAAACTGATCATTAATGGCTGGCGCCATAGTCATCAGTCCTGCGACTTGTGAGTTATAACAGAGAAGCTCTGCTGGCTTGTTTTAGCCTCTGCTTCACGATTATTTTAATTTGCAGATGCACTTTCCACTGCTATAAAGGAAATAACACACCAAAATATAGGAACCAAAATCCGGTAGCTTTAATTTTAGTGATGGATTCTACCAAACCAAAGCTGTCCTAAATATAAGAGAAGGGTTTGGGACGGATGGTTTCAGCTGTGCCTTGTGTTACCATAGGCTTTAGTTGTGAGCTGAAATGTCTTGCTGGTTTTGGCAATGGTGATTATTTAGCTGTAAATAAGTTGAAACAGTATCATACTGCTTGTAGTATAGGTAAGGTATTTAGCACATAAACTTTTGATTGAGGCCAAAAAATCTGTGTTTCAAGATGTGATTCTCTTCTTCCAGGTATGTGTTTTGATTTACTCAACTCTCAAGCTGATGTTACATAGAAGTTTTCTGGCATCTGCTTTTCTTCCTTGTTCAAAAGGGACATTTCAGTGAGAGTAGAGATGCTTCTTGGTCTGGCCCCTTAATTCAAACGTGCTGTAACTTTACAGAATATAGAAATCATTGAAGATCCTTTAAACATTACTTTGGTGAAAAATGAAGAGCAAGACATCACTTTCACTGTTATTCAACCATTCAGTATTTTCATTTGTTTTGTTATGATAGTCTCATTTCACTTTTTCTTTTTTGGTAATACTGCCTTACTTTTTTTTGATGGGAGGGAGAGGAAACCGTTGAACTCCATAGTTATCTGGCATGCAATTGCCATTATAGTTTGCAAACTAAATATTATAGTATAACACGGTCGCATTGTCAGTTCACCTTCTGATTATTACGGATTAGTAGAATTTGTGTGTAGGAATGGATCCTGTTACCTTGCTACTTCTGCATTCTTCAGTGCAGATTATGGCACTGCCCGGCTACGTAGCCTAAAGACAAATCTGATTTATGCTCCTTGGCAATCATTAGAAGTTAAGTCACATATTTAAGATGCTTTTTTAAATTAAATTTTAAAAGCCATTGCAGTCTTTCTCAAACTTGGTGGGAAGATTATTATTAAAATAAAAGTTTAACAATATTCCCTTTGACATAAAATTCAACAATACACTTTCTGCAGGTAGCGCTGATTTCAAGTGATAGTGTCAAAGTAAGAATTCAGTGATGGCTGCATTCAATCTTCAGTTAAAACCCTTGTGCCCAGCTATTCCATTATATGCATGTTACAGTAAGTTCTCTTTCTTGAGTGAGGAGCGTTGGGGTTTCACTGGTAGGGGTCAGTGCTGGATGGCTGTAACAGCCTAAGTCGTTAGCTTTTCATTTCTGGCACGTTGCAGTCCCGTGTGGTTTTTTTTCCTGACTGTAACTAAAATGAAGCTGTTGATTTCTTATCGAAGCTTTGCCATAGGTTTAACAAACGTGGAACAAAATGTTATGAGTGCGATGCTCTTAATTGGAGGGAGCAGAAAACTCGTTCAATTTTTTCACCCTCTAGCCTGGGAGCTTGCTGTGTCGTAGGGCTTTGGGAGAGAGACGTGGCTGTTCTCGGGGAGGTGCTGGGGGGGTGGGAGGGGTGTTCTCCAACTGTCCTGCCATGCTCCTCTCCAAGAGGAGAACTGTCACTCTGCTGTGAGTTGGCTTTTCCTGACTGCCTTACTGCAGTCCAGGGTTATGCTAGGGATCGTCTGCAGATGAGGGTGGGGAAGCAGGAGCTCCTAGAAGAGAGCGCGCTCACGTGTGAGGCGTTTGCGGGGTGGAGAAGCAAAGGGAAACTGTTCTGTGGGTTGTACAGGGGGAGGGTCAGTGGACGGAACGACTGGTCCATCTCCAGTTGCTGAATGTCATGGCCTCTTCTGTATCTCGGAAAAGATTATTTTAAAGGCTAGTTAGCTAAATTCAGATCAGTTCTGTGGAAATACCAAGTGGTGCTTTTGGAAGGTAAAACTGCTTTAATTTTGGAATGAACCTGACAAGTTAGTGCAGGTCTTTAATCTCTGCGTTTTTCTTTTCTTACAGCAAGCAAGGATTTGGCACAGACATCCTATTTCATGGCTACCAACAGGTTGTTATCCTGAACCTCTTTGTTGCACTGTTGTAGCACACTATAGCTTCCTTTACTGCAGGGCCCCCTACATGTGTCTTACCCTTGTTGCAACAGGAGACTGGGCCATCTACAGTGGTGGTACCTTCCTGTCTGCAGTGCGGTGTATTGTACAAGGGCCTGATGGCACAAAGGGGTTAAATGCACAATGAGAAGTGTAGTGGTGCTTTCTGATGACATTTTCTCGATTGTGAGTGCATAAGTCTAAAATTGGTAGCCTGAATAGCAGCTAAAGATTACAAAGAGCTAAACTTAACCTAGAAATTCGAGCATCTTGGTAAGTACAAAACTATTTTTAGTTTACACTTGTAGTTAATGGCAGTTTTCTCTTAACTTTAAATATATTGATCCAATCTTAACTTATAAAATTGTAGTGGGCCTAAGATCTTTTCAACTAGCTGACTTTTCTTTTCAGATAGACTAGGAGTAGTCCAATGTTCTTCCTTTTAGAAACAGCTCTTTAATTTTAATATAGAGTTTTAAAACTTAAGTACTTACATAAATTTGAAGTTCTAGGATTCCAAGTGGGGACTGTGTATACGTAGCCTGTTGTGGAAAGATGGAACTTGAGAGCAGACTTGAGTCTTGATTTCTCGATTACTTCAGTTTACTTCTTGCAAAACAACTTTGAGCTTTATTTAAGAGGATTGCATTACACGTAGACGGTTTTTAAGCAATATCTGCTGGTTATTAGAACTCTTCTAAATAAATATTTCTTGGTGGTTCCTTGATGGGCAAGGTTCTGTATTTGAAGCAGCTGTTAAGAAAAGTTGTGATAAGGCAGTGAAACTGAACCAATGTCTTTGTGCTGCTGCCAGCTGGAAGCTGAAGGCGAGTTCACAAATACCACAGATCCGGGCCTAGTGAAAGCTAAGCCCACAAGTAATTCACTTGGCTTGTGTGGAACTACTGGGTACCTTCTTCTAATTGTCTCATTCAGAGACTGCACAGTCAGCTGTATGTTTTTTTTACTGTAGAATTTTAATTTACCATATAATACTACTTTCTTTTTAGTACTTAAGTACAGTAGAATAACTGGTGAATTTATTTACTGTTCATCACACTTTTTATAACAAAAGCAACTTAAACTTTTCTACCAGATAAATGCCCTGCCCTTTGTTTTCTTAAGGCAGTAAGATATCTTACGAACTTAATCAGAAAAATGTTCCATAAGCTAATGTTTAACTGCTGTTGCTTGACGAGTTATCTTATTCTGTAGGTTAATGGTTGATTTGTTTGGGTTTTCTGTTTTACATGTTTGATTTCCTTTGGTTCCTCATTACGAAATTTGTGCAACAGTCTTCACCTTACTACGTTCTGTCTTCAGTACAAGCCTACAGTGATAGCATGTGTGTGCATTCACTTGGCCTGCAAGTGGTCCAACTGGGAGATTCCAGTATCAACTGATGGAAAACACTGGTGGGAATACGTAGATCCTTCGGTTACTCTAGAATTACTAGATGGTAAGTAATACTGCCTTTTCACATCCTGAAATTCAAGGGTTTATTAATGTAGAAACAGGAGCATAGTATAGTAAGAGCATAGCTTTAAGCCTAAATTAAGGCTCACCAACTTCACATGCTGGATCCTCAGGTGAAGGAAAGGTATAGGAGAGGGGAGAACTTCGGAAGACAGACTTGGTTTTCAGACCCTTTTTGTTTCATCCTGTGGGCTGGGGCATCCGCATACCTTTTGCCAGGTGCAGGTTAGAATCTTGCTTTTAAATGCTGTTCAGAACCAGGAAAGAGATGGAAATCTGCCCGTGCAAATTCATGCAGTCACGATCATTTTATGTACGTCAGTGGTCCAAGTTTATGGCTTCACTGTCACCGAAACAACTGTTCTTAAGGCTATACATAAAATTGCCATGTTAACAATTTGGTGTAGCTTATGATATCTCAAACTTGTGAAATACTTTTTTCTTGTTAAATGGCTTCTTCCCAGAAGAAAGCATATACCTAGAAGTTTACTACCTTTTGAAATAGTACTTACGGCAGTGGAGTCTGAGTTTGAGGCCGACATACACTACTGTAGTGGAGGTGGTAGCTTCTGGGGCTTTCAGATCTATGTATTGGGTTTTGCTATTAGTTCTAGAGAGAAACGTCTGTTTCAGAGTGGTGGCGGAGGCCTCCAGGCTTGCTGTGGCCCAGCATAGCTCCCACTGGCCTGCTTTTTCCCTCTGCTGAGCTTTTATTTCTTAATGGCAATTTTTTCTTTGTAAGTGAAAACTTCGAGTAGATGCCATGTGAAGCACAGAACCAGAGCGAGCTTGAAATCGCAAGTTCAAAAGTCTCCGTCTTAGTAGGCTTCTTTAAGTCGTAGCTGTAGTTTCAGATACCACCCTGCCTTCCTTCTTATCCGGCTATTGGCTTTGTGTGTTTGGTCAGCATGCATCGTTCTGGTTTTTAAAATCCCACGAGACGTGTGCTGTGAGCTCAGGGT